CCCCTCCATTCATCCTTAGAACCATGCTCTCCCTCAAACATGTGTTCCACTGCTTTGCCAATTATGGTATTTGCAAGGTTGGCATCACTAACGTGAGATGATGCCACCCTGTCAGAAAGAATTTTAAGAGACAAAACTCTTTCATCTCTGTGAAGTTCCAGTCCATAAACACAGTCAATTCCATCATATTTCACCAGATAAAGAGAGGGATTTATAGGCACCTGATCCAGAACGGTTCCTTTCCACTGGGTGATGGGCTCATCTCCTTCTTTCCATCCATGAGAAATTCTGCATCCCACGATGTTCCTGCGGGGCTGGGATGAAGGTCTGCCTCTCTGCTTCTTTTGGGAGACTTTTTTCTTTGTCATGTTTGCAGACCCAGTGGCCCGTCCTGCAGCTGCCCTGGTTTGTTGCCCTTCGGCTTCCTGTGCGTTGGGGGTCTTCATGCCTGCTGGGGGAGGAGAGAGGATAGAGAGACATATCCAGTGTGCCACGAGGCAAACTTTTCCCTATAGCCATGTCTGGATATACTCTGCGCTAGTGCCTAAGGTTCCCCTAGGAGCCTGGAAGCAATGCTGGAAATCTGGCTGCATGCCTGCAGTGCTCTCCCTCTTAAGTTCCTTTGGGCTGTGGGGAAAGGCTGGAGTGGTGCAGTAGAGCTGTCTGTGGTTAGGAACTCTGCAGAAGTGGCTGGGCCACGTCCTCCTAGCTCAGAGCCCACTGCCCTCCCTGAACCCCTTGCTGCCACTGGAGTCCACTCCCAATCCCCTGCAAAGCGGCCTTGACCGGCACCCACTGACCTCCTTCCCTGAGTATCCCAGCTGCTGTCCACAACAAACCCTGCCTACCCTAACCACTTCCCTGATACACACCGCCCTTGCTTCCTGGAGCTCACCTTCAAATCCTTGTCTGGCTCCTGTTCTTACCCCCTTTTCATGTAGCTCACCGCACTCCCCCACCCGACTTTTGCCTGGCGCCCACCTCCACCCCAGGTCTCCTGCTGGATTCCTTCCCATCCCCCTCTCCATTCTGGCGCCCACTAATGGCCTTGCCCTGCCTGGCGTCCACCGCCGCGGATCGCGGGCCTCACGTGCCCAAATCGGACACCTCGCTGCTGCCTCCGCTATGAGCCTGTGGCGAAGGAGGGTCAGCAGGCGACCGGCCGAGTGAATGCTTGCAAGAGCTGGGAGGGTAGGATCCGTAGATGAGCGTGTCTAGGAGGGCGGCAAGGCAGGCAAAGAGGACTGCAGCGGCGTTGCCACCGCTTGGCTTGCTAGCCCTCCGCCTCCCTGCTGGCGGTGGTGGCCCCTCAGCCACATCGGGATTCCACCAGTCCCTGCTGTCGCCGCCGCAGTCTCCTCCCTCTTTCCGTAGCGCAGCTTCCTGCCCAGAGAGAGGCCTCCTCTTCCTGCCAAACACCGCGCCCTCCTCTCCACCAGGCTCCCACGCCCACCACACAGCCTGGAGCCCTGGAGAAGCTATAGGCTCTGACTCCGCCTCTTCCCAAATTCAGAGTAGTTGGTGCCACAGTAGTCCTCGGAACCCTGTGGCGCCTTCATCACCCGTTTCAGGGCCCCTTGATTCCCACCCCCACCTTCTTAGTCCCCCTGCCCTATCTGCTTTCCATCTTCTTGGAATTCGCCTTGCCGCCGCCCCGCGCCCACACCGCTCCCCCACCCCGCCCCGCGCCCAGTCCCTTGCCCTTATGGATTTATTCTTTACACCTAAATATGTCTTTCCTCTTTTTGAAAGGATTTGGAGTTGAAACAGAGAAATTCACTATGGTAAGTCTGCCGTTTTGACTCAGTCTCTACCTAATTTTTCCTGTCTGATCTTTCCTGACTTTTTTGTTTTAGTTTTTAAGGGATTTTTTTCCTTTTCTTTATTGCAAGATAAGTGCATGTACAATGTGAGCACTATCTAAATTTTGGGAAATTAATATTAAGAGGAAAATCATCAACTGCAGTCGTATCTCCCATTTTTGAGGGCCTCACAGCAAAATATTAATGCTCATAGGTTTTTTTCCCCCCTTTTTCCTAAACTTTTGCAAAATTGAGATTGTTTTTTATCTGTAATTTCATGTCTATTAATTTTTCCAGGAAATTAGATGCTTTCTAATCGATTTTTTCATTCAACAAATATTTGTTGAGCACCTGTTACATATCTTGTGCTTGGTCCATAAAACTCAATTTTAAAGTGATTTATAATTTGGCTTTTCTCCCAGTACTGGACATTTGACATAATGTTTCTACAATAATGAGTAATCAGATCTATGTATCGGAATAGAAAGCTTTGCAAAAAATAACTTCCTAAGAAATAATTAGATAAAAGTTATAGTTTTATAAATCAGTGGAGAAACACTGGGTATTCTTTAAGGAATGTTAAAATGATTCTTTAAATATTTTGAGAAAGGTTGTATACTAATGTTGTACCAATATCAATATTTGATTTATTAAAAGGTAAAAAGCAGCCAAATAAAATTGACCAGAAAGCAAATGAACCAACCAAAAACTCTGTAAACAAAACATTGCTTAATGGTATCTTTCTTATTCAGATACTTATGGTATTTGAATGAGGGGATGAGTCGGATGTTAACAGACCAACTACAGTTAGTAAAATAACGTCTACAAGGAAAAATAGAAATAATAATCTTGATTCAACAAAGTATGAAAGAACATTAAAATGTTACTTAATGTCATTGATCATGAAAAAAGGGGTTCATATCTAGTGCTGATGCAAGTGAAAGTTTATACAATTTTTATGGGAAGCAATTTGCATATATGTTGTAGTTTCAGCGAGGGCTTTTTTAAAATTATGGTTAACTCTTACTCCTAGGATTTCAACCCTGGAATTTCAATGAAAAGTAAGGGGTTAGGGAGTTACCAAGGTTCTGGACTCCAGATTCTGTATTCATAGATTTAACAAGCAGTCACAAGTTCTGTTGAGCATCTAAGTCTTTCAGTGGTTCTCTCTAGAATGGGTAAACTTTCCCAGTAGAAAAACATCCACCAAATGCCCTGTTTGCCTCTTGGATCTGTTCTCCTTCTATCTCAGCTAGATAATTATTTCGTATTTCTCAGCTTTTAGATGCCATTGAGAGCGGATTTTCTTTTTTACTATATTTGTTCAGATTTACTCAATTTGTTCAGATTTTAGGCAAAGTTGTTTTGAACTGTTTAGTCTCCTATTACTAAAATCTCAAACCCTATTTTTTATTATGAAATATATGTGTTCATCCTTAGGATGTATACATTAAATAGGCACAGCTTTGTGACTGTAAATCATACCTCAATAGTGGTTTGAAAAAGAAAAAAATGTGTTTAACTATTTGTAATGACTCCAAACTAAAAAACACCTACATTTCCATCAACCCATATGTTGGGGTATATTCATACATTGGAATATCATGCAGCAGTGAGAATATTCAAGCTACAACTACATGGAAAAACATGAATGAATCTCTCAAATATGTTGAAAAAAGAAGCCAGAGAACAAAGGGGCACACATTATTCTCTTCAATTTATTTAAAGTTCAAAAACAATCATTAACTAATCTGTTGTCTAAAAAGTTAAAGTAGCAGTTATTCTTGCAAAGATATTTTCCAAATAGACAGCAATTCATACTCTATCAGTAGCTGATCAAAGTAAAAATTAGAGAAATATTTGGACATGTATATATAGCAGGAAAGGTTTATATAGATGCTGAGCTGCAAAAATATATTTAATTGTAATAGACATCAATTGATACTGCAGCCTAGCATCTTATCACCATTCTTCTGGTAATAGTGCCAGAATTTTCCTCTTGGGAACAACAAGTCTGACTTTTCAGGGTATGGAATTACTGTTGCAATGATTAGTTTAGGAATAAGCATCCAACCTAGTCAAAGCCAATGAGACACAAACTCCTAGGCATGTGGCAGTTTCCATTGGAAGAGAGTGAACCTGAAAGGATATGAGGATTAAGCTGCTCTAGTCACTTTACTATCATCAATAGATTGAGAATGAAGGTACCCCAAAGAACAGAATGGAGCCAGCCTATGCAAAAAGAGGGAGACTGTCCTAGTGACACATTCTGTACATGTAGGTGGTTATGGCCACTGACTGACTTTTGAATATTCATCTCACTTTAGAAGATTAGTCTAAGCTAGTTATGGTGATGCCATTCTTCCTGTAAGTGATTGATTTGGCATTGGGCATGTGATCTAATCCTAGTCAATTAAGCATCATAGTATATCTGCTGGAAGACTTCGGAAAAAAATTTCTTTACTCTTAAGAAAAGAAACAGGAAATAATGTTCTCTTATCTTTTTTAGGATGATGCTATATCTTTATATGACCTTTGGAATATCTGTAATCATCCTGAGGGCAAAACTTATGTAATGAAGATGGAAGAAGAGAGAATAGGAATACTCTGTGCGCTTTGATCTTATCGTTTTGCTGTTGATCATACCATCCCTGGAGTCCTACTTCTGACTCCAAGTTATGAGGTAACAAGTTTCTTTATAGTTAAAGCAATTTGAATCTGGGTTTTCTGTTACTTACAGTTGAAGGCATCTTAAATGGCTTAGCATTCCTAGACTTAAATTATATAGTATCCCTAGACAATACCGTTATACTTTTAAGTTATATGAAACAATACATTCTCAGGCACTCATTCATCCAACCAGCTCCCATATCAGGAAATGGGACATTACTTCCAGACTTAAAAAATCCAGTATTCAGTTGCAAATAAGGAATAAGGAGCTATCTAAAAAACAAGCATGAGGTAAAAAGGCATCATTCTCATTTGCACTACAAGAAAAAATATACCAGGATTAGTAAATAACTCCCTAAATAAACGCTATCAACAAAGTGATGAGCCTCTTATATTTCCCTCAAAGGAAGAGGTAGGCTTCCGGACTCCAGTCTCTCCACCTCACATGTATTATTTTCCATATACTTTAGATTTCTCTGTCTTAAAGAGATGATCCTGATATTCAATCTTGTGAGAATAAAAAATAGCATTCTAATCACTTATTTTTAAATTTCATGCATTAATATTAGTTAAGACTATCTTTCAAAATTACCAAAAATTAATATGGTTTACTGCGATCTTTTTAACAATGAAAAGATCTATGATGAATGAAATAGACCTTTCTCTATCTCATTTCCTTTTTCTCCTTGCCACCTCTCAGGACATCCCAGTGTTCTCACGTTCCATCTTCAGTCACACTTCACCAGTGTTAAATCCCTGGTATATGTTCTTCCAAACCATTTTGTATGATACTACAACAATATATAAATATAAACGTAAACATCGGAATTTGGAAGTCCTTCTCACTTTTTAACATAAGTGGGATCATACTCTTTACATTTGTGTGCAACGACACTTCTATATATATTTCTAAAACATCTTCTTTATAATTGTATACTATTTCAAGTGATACATAAACACAATGTATTCAACAGTTCTGGTATTGATAGACATTCAAGATTTTCCCCCAGCTATTTTTGCTGTTTCAAACAATGCTGCGATAACAAGTGAATGCAATCCAATTGTGACATTTCTCATTCCATCTATTTTGAGGGTTGATGGTGCCTATTTTGTTGATGAGGTAGGTATCTTTGTCTTCTCTCAATGTTGCCACATTCTTCCTTCTTAATGTTACCTGTCCTGATATAAAAGAACCTTTCCAGATAAAGAAGACTATCTTTTATTTAAGAATATATATGTGCTTTGTCTGGCCTTCCCCCAGTATTTATAAATTTTTAGCAATCTTCCAAGAAGTTATTGAATCAAAAAGAAAATAAGAAAAAATTAACAACAGAGAACTTGAGAAATGATAGCAATGAGGACACAACATATTAAAATGTGCCAGTTCCAACCAGAACTCTATTCAAAGATAAATTTATAGTAATGACTATTTCTCTTAAAAATTAGCCAGAAATTATCATTATAGATAGCCGTGGAAACTTAAAGGAAGTAACTAAAATATGCAGAGACTGATGAAGTGAAAAAATAGAAAATTAGTAGAATATATAGCAAAACATATGTCTAAGTTTTGTGAAAAAATAAAACAATAGGAAAGAAAACTGGCAATACAGAAAAAAGGACCAACAAATGCAAAGGGATTTATAATAGGTTATTTGAAAATATAAAATTGTCATGCAATAATTCACTTGCTCCACAATGTTTATAGAGTGTCTCCTATGTTCCAGACCCTTTCATAGGCATTGCATTACTAGAATGAATTAGATAGACAAGATTCCTGCATTCAAAGTTTTTATTCTAGTGGAGTAAGACAGAAAATAAACAATGTAAAAGACAAGTTCACATAGTGGTAAGTACTACAGAGCAAGAAACACCAAGGTTATGGGGTAGAAG